TCTGCTTCTTCTATGTATGTTGTTATGTTTGGGACATATTCTTCCATTTCCTTTTGTTTCTCCTGGTTTTTTGTTGAGGTCGTTGGGGCTGATGGCTGTTTGCGTTGCATTGTTTTAGAGGAGCCAGGTCTCGTTTTCCAGGGAGTCCAATGGCACTGGCTCTCTCTGGGAGACTTGTGGGAATGCTTCTTTGAACTGCCTACAGCTAATTTTACTATGGGATTAACCTCCCACTTTATCCTCCTGTGGCTTCCCTATCAGGGGAGTGCCCCAGAAGGCTGGTGGGTTGCCTGCTTTGGTGTTGTGGACGTTGGGCAGAGTTCCTGCAACAGCTTGGAATGTTGATGAGTGGTGGCTGAGCTGCCTTATGCCCCAAGGCACACAGGCAGGAATTCCCCTGAGAAGTTGGGCAGTGTCCCTGGAGGGAAAGCAGGGCTTTCCCTAGCCTCGGCTAGCTACGCAGGGTGGAGCTCTCCTAGCTGGGTGTGGTTGGTGCAGGTGTAAGTGCCCTAGGCTAAGGGGGGTGGTCTGGTGCTTAGCAGTGGAGTGTGAGTGAACAGGAAAGAGACAAAGAGGAGAAAATTTTTTTTAAAGTAAGACCGTTTAGACTGGGGGAATATAGGTAAGAGAGGGAAAGAAAAGCAACTATGTAGCTGAGTCCCATTCCCTGCCCATGGAGCTGCAAGGGTTTAGTCCCTGCCCTGAGGCAGCGGCAGCAAGCTGTGACTGTGCAGAGAAAATGCCCCTGTGTAGACTGTGGGGGAACAGAGAGCTGGAATGCAACAATGTAGCTGAACCCCAATCCCTGCCCGTGGAACTGCAAGGGTCCAGTCCCTGCCCTGAGGCCAGCAGGGGAAACTGTGGCTGTGTTGAGACCAAATCCCCCTACAGGCTCCAAATGGTCCAAACACCGGCAGCGACAGTAGCTGGGCCAAGGTCAAGCCCCAGCCTGCTTCCACTGAGGTTAGCCAAAAGCCCCAAGCCCCTCAAAACCCCATGTGTCTGTGCCTACATATCTTTATGATGCTCCTCCTGCGTTCCAGCTGTGTTAAAGTTCCCTCTAAGCAACTCTCCTGTGGTCTGGATTCTGTGGAGTCCCTCTGGTATGTGTTACTTCGTTGCCATCTTCCTGGAAGTCTCTCTGCTCATTTTATTGTTGATTTTTAATGTTATAGCTTTGTGGTCTGAGAATATTGATTGTAGGATCTCAATTTTTCTAAATTTGTTGAGGTATGATTTGTGGCCTAGTATGTGGTCTCTTTTTGAGAATGTTCCATGTATGTTGTGTTGGAGAAGAACATATATTTTGTTGGATGAAGCATTTCATATATGTTTTGAGGTAGTTTTTATTAATTGTATTATTGAGTTTTTTTGTGTCTTTGTCGAGTTTTTTCTTTTTCTTCATGTTCTGTCTTTCCTTGAGAGTGATGTTTTAAAGTTTCCTGTTATTATTGTTAATGTGTCTATATCCAGAAAGATATACTTCTTATGTGAGAATTATTTAATAGATGTGCTTTACTTCAGATTGTTTGGTAACTAATATTATTCATAACACTATCTCTTTTATGAAGAAGGGAATCGGTATTTTTCAATGGAAACCTGGTTGTACAATTTACCCACATGGGAGACATCTGAAAGGGTGTGTAAGCTTCATGAGGACAAAGGGTTTTGTCTTTTTATTCAAGGTTCCTCTGACACATGATGAATACTTACTATTCACTAGAAGAATGAAGCAGGAAGAACATTTTATAAAACAAGAAATGGAAGATGATATTAAAATTTTGAGAAGTCTAATGAAAACATAATCTGTAACTAGTGAAAGAATGGTCACATTCGGCCTAATATTTTCTTCTCTTCTTATAGACACAGCTGTAAAATAAGCATTTTAATGGAGTAACATTGCAGGATTAATATGCCAATTTTATGAACCTGCATTCCTCTAATCTTTTGTCTCAGAAGATTATGAGATTATTAATAATTTATTGATCACGGCATTTTGCCACATCATGGCTTGTGTCAAGGGATTCTTCCAATAAGAGGGGCCAGTGCTAACTCCACTTTTGTCCTCGACATGTAGACAGTTTTCTCAGAAGGGGAAATACTAGAAGAGAAAGGAAGAATTGCAGAAATGGGTGGTTATGTTTAGTCTGTTCAAAGTCTTGCAGATAACACAGAAAAAGCAACCACGAGATTCAGACAAGGTGGAGGAACAATACATTAAAACTGTGAAATAGTTCTAACAGTTACATGCTAGGAAAAATGAGTATCTTAAAAGTGAGAATACACGATTGAGTACCAAGGGAATGATGCAGATAATTTACACCCAAGGATCTGGTCCTAGCCCTCACGGAAATGTTGGAATCGGCCTGAATTACTGGCTGCTGTTTCTGAGATGATGGAAGCAGAGGTAGCTTCATAATTGGAGTATTTTGAGGATTTCCATGAACAAGTTAGTAGCTCATCGCTGAGCTGACTCATGAATTTCAGGTAGTGCTTTAGATATTGACTTTGTATTGCTGCAGAAACTACACGAGGTTCGTGAGGCTTTGTATGAAAGGTTCTTTAAAATGTAGTCACCTTAAAGTTTGGGACAATCATCTTCTCAAATTGTCCACATACACATCCACCACTCCACCCCATCCCCCATTTAGATTTGACATTAAAGGATAGGGATAGGATGGAGCTAGGTAGCTGCCGCCTTCTCTCTGTCTTGCCCTCCTACCTGCCCAGGAGAGGTGAGTTGCACACACTGTAGCTCTCCCAGCCCACCACTGCGCTCTTCCTCCCCCTGCCTGGGCTCCAGCCATACAAGGTCTGGCAGGACCTCGGCCATTCTGCACCCTCTCAGATGGACAGTGTGTGGAGAGCCTAGGTCACCCTCTTTCAGACCTTTCCGGATTACTTGCTGGACTGTGCTACAACCATCTCTCACTGATTAATGATGAGCCCAGAGCATCTTTTTAATTAGCCTTGCCACATTCATCTATTCTCAAGCAAAATGTATTAAGGTTGGATGTGCTTTTCCCACACAAACTAGTTTTTAATACATGTACCTAGCTGATAGACCACTGACTAATAAAGGCATCGATATGCTCATGCTACTGGACTTTTTTTTTTCTTTTCAATTTCTGGTATTTAGAGCACAGATTCCCAAATTTATTTGGCCCACCATTCTCTCTGGAAAAATACTCAGCACCCCACCACCACTGGAAATGAATAAGTTTTATACTATAGCCCCCAATCCAAGTTAAGTGGATAGGTATCTGTTTTTGTAGACCCCCCCTGGATCAGTCCATTGTCCCCCAGGGGCTGGCATTATCCACTTTGGGAAACACTGATTTAAAGCATTCTGTTGGCACGCCATTTCTTGCCTGAGTTGCTAAACTCAGTGAGGTATTAACAATGCCAGTATGTGAGTCCTGGGTCTCAGTTGGGGAGTGTTGCATAAATACATGGAGGACTAATCTAAGAAGGGAGAAAAGGGAACTCTTTCCTGGACCTCTTTCTGTATTCAAGGGCTGTGCTCGCCAATATGGCAACCTCTAGGCACACGTGATGAGTAAGTACTTGAAACGGGACTGTCACCATTGAGATGTGCCAACAGTGTGAAATATACACTGGACGTTACAGACTTCGTATTGGGCAGGGCAGGTATATAAACTCATAATGAAATAGTATTGGGGCTATATTGAGATAAATAGCATATTAATAAAGTTAATATCACATGCTTCATTTGACCATTTAAAAAAAAACAAATCCGTTTATTGTACATTTATAAAATCTGCATAGTTTTATTAAGTGTCTCCGCCCCCCATTTTACCATTTTTTAAGGTGGCTGTTTAATATGACTGTGGCTCACATTACAGTTCTTTCTTCTTTTTTGCAAACAGTTTTATTGGCACTTTATCCACATATCATGCAAGTCAATAGTTCATTCATATGAAGAAATATTGTGCAATCATTACCACAATGAATTTTAGAGCATTTTTTCTTCTTTGTACTCATTGTTATTAGTGTAATTATTATTGTATTTAATTATGGTAAAAATGTACACCACCAAGCATTTTCCACTTCAGCAACTTCTGCCTGTATAATTCAGTGCCATGACCGTACTCTTCGTGTTTCTATTGGACAGTGCTGTTCCGGAGGACAAGCACAGTGCCACATGCTTAGTAGATACTCGAGCAGTACTTGACTTTTGATTCACTGTTTGAAGTGCTCTACCCCTGTCCCTTGTGCACTGTTTAAAATAGACTAGGACAACATTTCTAGGCCAGGGAGTTTTGAATGGGCTGTTTGAAGATCAAGTTGACTTGATTTATGCATCCGTTCACACTGCAAGCCCGCATACAAATGTGAGCTAACTGCAAGGAAGAAACTTGAAAACTTTGGGCAGAATGAAAGAAGCCAGGCTTAAAAGACCACTTACTCTAAAATTCCTTTTATGAGAAATATCCAGAATCAACATATTCATACAGACAAAGTCGATTAGTGGATACCAGGGCCTTGAGGGAGGGAAAGATGGGGAGTTGGTGCCATGGATGTGGGGTTTCTTTTTGGGGTGATAAAATATTCTTGAATTTTTTACTAATAGTTTTGAATCAGACAGTGGTGATGGGTTTTAAATATACTAAAAAACCCACTTAATTACACACTTTAGGAGGGTGAATTTTATGGTAGTAAGTATTTCAGTGAAGCTAGTTATAAAAATTAAAGACCAAAATATAAAGGACATGTTCATCTAATGCATCCTTTGTCCATCAGAATTTCAAAGAATTGCTTTAAGTATCTGGATTCAGAATAACCAATATATAGCATTTTCTTGTAGACCTATACTTATCCAGGAAAACCTAATTTAATAGACTTTTTCTAAAAAGGTAATGGTATTGCATTTAAAAAATACCAATGCCTTTTGCATATATTGATGTTCGAAAACCTTGGAGAACTATAGTTTGTGAACAGTAAATTCACTCCCAGATGTGATTTCTCTCGTGATACAGGATTTGTATAAGTCCTTGAAGGTCCTCTCTGCAGAACTGGTGCCTTGGCATAATTTAAAGAAGCAGGAGGAAAGTGAGGGCATCAAAGTGGAAGATCTTTTGTTTATAGTGGATACCATGTTGGAAGAGGTTGAAAATAAAGAAAAGGTAAGACATTGGGTATACAAATGTTTCATATTTACATAATGTTTTACATAATGAAATCTTATCCAATAAAATGAGAATGTGTGGCTTAAAAAGCCCAAACAGATCCCACTACTGTCCAGTTATTCCAACTCATTATGGTCCTGTGGGGTTGTCAACCTCGATGGGAGCAAACAGCCTCATCTTTCTCCCACTGAACAGCTAGTGGGTTCAAACTGCCGACCTTTCCATTGCAGCCCAACATGCAATCCACTAATTTGCTATAGATCATTGGTTCTCAGCCTATGGGTCGCGACCCCCTTGGGGGGGTGTCGAATGACCCGTTCACAGGGGTTGCCTGATTCCTAACTAGCAAAATTACAGTTATGAAGTAACAATGAAAATAATTGTATGGTTGAGGGGGGGGTCACCACAGCATGAGGAAACTGTATTAAAGGGCCGCGGCATTAGGAAGGTTGAGAACCACTGCTCTAGATGCTGACAGTGGTCTATGAGGGTGATATTTTTTCATTGTAAAGCTTTTTGCTTTCTCGCCTCTTATGGACAGGACAACAATATGCCAAACTTTCAAACTTTACAAGCTGTTGTGTCTCACTTCCAAAAATTGTTTGATGTGCCTTCTTTGAATGGAGTCTATCCTCGCATGAATGAGATTTATATGAGGCTTGGAGAAATGAACAACGCTGTGAGACACCTCCAAGAACTCTTAGAACTAGGTGAGGACCCTTTGCCATTTTTGTCTCCTCCTTTAAGAATCAGCCCTAATAAGTTAAGACAAGGTTGTTGAAAATGTAAGAATAACAAAAATCGAAGTGTTTGATGTAATGATTTTGAAAGTTCTCATTTCAGATATATCCTTTTGTTTCTCTTTGCAGATAGTTGTACTTCAGTGTATGTGCTAGTGAACGCGGTTGGGAAATTGTGCCGCCTGGTTAATAAGGGTGTGAGTGAGCAGGTTAAACAGATATTGGGACCTGAAGACCTCCAAAGGTATTTATTTTAAAGGGTCACAAAATCTCCAGGAGGGAAGAGGGTGACACTGAAGACTTCCCAAAATAACCAGATAGGGATTTACTTCCTGTTTCAAAGCAACCCACCAGCTCACTGCCATTCAGTAGATTCCAAAGAGTACCTTTGAAAGCAGTGGAGATGGAGCATTAGAGACGAGAATGCCGGCTGTGTGGATGAGAAACAGAGTAGAACTTGTCCTGCTCCGAGGAGCGGCCAGGAACTGCTCAGCACCGCTGCTGTGTGACGCTTTCCAAAGCACAGGAGGGAGCGAGAGTCCAACTTAGTTAGCGACTTCACGTGAGCTGAGATTGTACGAAGCCAGGCTTGTTGTTAGGACACGGTGATAGACTATGAACAATCACTGACTCTTATTTGGTTGGAAGATAAATGCTAAGGACTTTTTAAAACACCTGACATCTGTGACGTAAAACTTAATTTTTTAAATGAAGCATTGTAGCTGTACTTAAAGTACCTTTTCCACCTAAAATTTTATACTTTATTAGTAGGGGAACATATGTGTCATGTATTCTGCGAGTTTTCCAAGAATATCCCATACTTGTTATGATGTTTGCATTTCCTTGGAACATAAGTCTCACTATTGGTCTCTTTATCTTTCCCATAGTTTTACTGAATACTGACTTTTTTTTCTTAATACCGTATTGGATACAAAAACCAATTTTTAAAGAATATGCTATAAATGTGGTCTCAGAAGCCTTGAGTTCAGTGGCAAGTTGTCATGTTAGAAATTTTATATAAATTTAATTTTGAAACAGATGTTTTTACTGATACTATATGCTGCCTTTTTAGAAACTGATATTAGCCCAATAAAGAACTGAAAAGGAAATAACCATTAAGTTAAAATCTAAACTAGCAGGGCAGTTTCTTTACTTTTTGGAAATGTCTTATTTGCTATCAGATGCCTTGATCCTAAATTTGTTAATTCAGTGTAAGTGGCCCTTTTTTTCTTTCACAGCATTATCAACAAATTAGAAGAACACGAGCAGTTTTTCCCAGCATTTCAGGCATTCACAAATGAGCTCCTTAAAATCTTAGGTAAGAGCTTCCTGGTGACGTTCTCATTTCTAGTCATAAGCTACACAGAGCAGACAAGCATGAGCACCTGAAGGAGACAGAGCTTCCTTTGTTTAGGATCCCAGTGTCGGAAAGGCCTTACCCTAGCCATGCCCACAGAACCCTGCCTCTGTCCTGGCCTGAAGAGAAACCATAGGTGAATTTATGATCTTTTTTTTTAAAATCATTTTATTGGTGGTTCGTACAACTCATCACAATCCATACATCCATCCACTGTGTCAAGCACATTTGTACATATGTTGCCATCATCATTCTCAAAACATTTGCTTTCTACTTGAGCCCTTGGTATCAGCTCCTCATTTTTTCCCCTCCCTCCCCTCTCCCCACTCCACCATGAACCCTTGATAATTTGTAAATTATTATTATTTTGTCATATTTTACAGTATCTGACATCTCCCTTCACCCACTTCTCCACTATCCATCCCCCAGGGAGGAGATTATATGAAGATCCTTGTAATCTGTTCCCCCTTTCTCCCTCACCTTCCTTCCATCCTCCCGAAATTTATGATCTTGAAAACTTTTCCTTTTTTTTTAATGGTTAATTTTAAGATCTTATTGACCAATTGTATTTTTAAATATACAAGTAAAATATATTTCTCAGGTGATATAAAATTAGTAAATATCTGTAAAAAAAAAAAGGGTCCAATTAAGGGCTTGCGATAATAGCAGTACATCTTAAAGGGGAAAACATAACTTGCTTAGAAGTCATAGGCAACATAGAGACCTTTACTCTTATTTTAAATGAGATTGGATGGATTGTGATAAGATTTGTATGAGCCCCCAATAAAATGATTTTTAAAAAATGAGATTGGATGAAGGAACTTCAGAAAGTTCATGGACAAATGGAATTAGAGGATAATGGAATTGTTCCATAAACTTTCAAATGTTCTCTTTTTAATTGCTACAAAATCAATTTATTGTGTTATTAAGAACTGTATTTAAAGTTTCGAGTGATTTATTCACCGATAAGTTTCTATGTAGATTATCTGACTTTTTTTTCCAGAAATTAAATGAAAAGAAGTATTGAGACTTGGTTGGAAGATAAGGGATTGAGTAATTAAAAGTTAGTAAAAAGATGAAGGGACTATCCGGTTGGAGCACATGCCCTAGTGAACCTAAATGACGGGTTGTAGGCAGTTTTTTGTAGGCTGTGGAAGCAAAAGAGCCATAGGTGAGCATGCTTTAGGCACGCTCCTCCTGTGTTTTCAAAGGTTGTGGCAAGTAAAAATGTAATTTGAAAGTGGAACTGAGACATGAAGCTGTCTGTGTTACAGCAGTATCTCGAAGTGCCTGGTTTCAGTGAAGTTCTGTCATCAGTAAGGATTTGGTGAACATTAACGCGTGTTTACAAGCAGGGCGTGTTGGTGACATCTTCGCAGAGTCCTACCGAACTTCCTCTTCTGAACTGCTTGCTTCAAAAAGCCAGCTCTCCCATGTTTAAATAATAAAGTGAAGTATGATATTTAACATTGGGAAAATGAAATCAATTTTGTAAAACACAACTATTTTTTAATTGTCTGATGTCCTATTTTAAGTCTCCAGAACTACAGAACACTCTACCGAATACAAATATGAAGGAGACTGACTCTAGTGACCATCTGATTGTTGTACATTTTCCCCCTTTATCTTATGTAAAGCGTCCAGCTGGCCGAGGAAATAGCCCAGCCAGGGCCCTCCTCTGGGAGGTTCATTCATTGGACACGCTTCTTATTTAGGGAGAAAACAGATGTGCTGTCTGCGTGATGGGGGGCCAGGGAGTAACCTGGTCTTGTTCTCCTAGCCACAACATCAGGTGTGAAGGAAAGGCTCTGGTGCAGGCTTGCTTCTTTCGTTTGTTTCCTTTGGAAGTGTTCTCCAGTAAAGAATTCTGATGAACTAAAGGAATCGTGTTTAGGCTAAAGGAAGAACCACCAACATCCACCTAGACAATGGAGGGGGGGGTGGAATCCCAGGAAGCATGTTTTTATGTAAAAGAAATGAGTTTGTGAATAATGTTCTAACACAGTGGTTCTCAGTCTGTGGGTCGCAACTCCTTTGGGGGTCGAACGACCCTTTCACAGGGGTGACCCAATTCCAAACAGTAGCAAAATGACAGTGATGAAGTAGCAACGAAAATGATTTTATGGTTGGGGTGTCACTACAACACGAGGAACTGTATGAAAGGGCTGCGGCATTAGCAAGGTTGAGAACCACTGTTCTAGCAGAATGTGCTGGGGAAACAAGGTGGTGAGTGTTCACTAGAGAGAATCTACCATTGAGATGCACCTTAAAGTAGGCCTGGGGTCCACACCGAAGGGAAGGAATCCTGCTTCATCAATAGCTAGAAACTTTAGACTTGTTGGAAAAAGATAGTCTTTGAATGAGACAGCAGATTCAGAAAGAACCTGGCACGAAGAACCGGAGCTGGTTTCTCTGCTGAGCTAGACCGAGCTAATTACATTGCAGTTACGTCCTCTGTATCAATCACACCCAAACTTTATACTCGGAGAAGCCATCCACCTATTGCAGTTAAGTTGCATCCTGAATGGTAGACCTAAAAATGGTCCTATGAATAAATAATTCTTCCAAGACAATGAAAAAGCTATGACCGTGTTGGCTGAGAGAGGGGGAAATCCCCGCGTCTTAGCTGGAACCAGGAAGGAGGCACCTCTGTTGCAGCTGAGCCGTGGAATGAAGCAGATTTAGAGGTGCGGAGTTAACATGGGGAATGTGGCCAGTGGCTGTGTTAACCCAAGCGGGAGGCTGCGAGCTTGCTGTCGGGTGCTTCGGAATCAAATGTACCACCACCCCTGCCTGGGGATATCTGCATGTGCACACAGCACCTTGCATCTGACACTTGGCCCCCAAGTCCTCGTCTCAGCTGAGCTCCCCTCTAGGTTGTATTTCTGGCTCTTTGCCTAATTCTTCTTCCTTGTTGTTGTTTTTCTATTTCAGAAATTGATGATGTGGATGCCATTGTACCTGCAGTAAAGAAATTAAAAGTACTTTCATACTGAAAACAAATCAAATTATTCTACTGTGTAAATTGCATCTTTAGACAGTTTAAGTATTTTGTATGGTTAATCTTATCGAGAGACAAGTGCTAGCAGATGTATTTACTCTCAGAATTCACCCTTTCTTACCACTGGGTTCTTTTCTCTATCCAGACAATTTCTTTAAAATTTCACTTTTTAATGTATAAGATTCTTATACAGAAAATAGTGGCTTAATTTATTGGACTTTAGATTCTCCCTAATCGCTTCTTCAGCAATTCTTGAGTGGCTGAAGCTGAAGGTTCTTTTCACGTTGGGTGTGTGAGTAGAAGAGAAAGCAAGTCACAGGGACACGGACGCCACCGGCTCTCCCAGTCCAGCGACAGGAGGCTGATGCTTTCCTTGAGGGGCCACATGGAGGACTCTACTAAATAGCTTCCCTGGCAGTCGCCCTTTCAAAGTAGGAGAGACAGAACAAGACAGAGAAAGAGATCATCATCATTATATTGGGGTTGGAAACGAATCATGGAGTAATATAAATAAATAGATAAAAATACCAAATAAAGAGTGTCTTTTTGCAGTCTTGATTGCAATGTATTTTTTTTACTAAGAGCATGAGATCTTAAATAAAATTCTTGTGAAGACTTTCCAAACAGAAGCGTCCTCAATGACTTACTTGTACTACAAATAATGAGTCAGATGCCCTTCCTAGGCGTGGCCCTCCTTGAGTTCCTATGTGCCGCACTTTGCGTTTGCATCTATCTCTTGGTGCCTTTTCTCTATGCTTTTCTGAAGAGTCTGGTGGCTCTGCCTCACGTCTCTAGCATTGGGCGGGAGACTTGTAGGTCACCGCATCCGGGGGGTGGTTGTAATGTAGACTAGTGTGAAGCGTCCAAGAAGCAGCAAGGCAGGATGGAGAGTCAACAAACATCCACATCCTTGGTGCTGTGATGGTAAGCTTAGGAAATACGTCAGAGAATACCATAGATGCCTTCTAGATTTAAAAGCTATTTGTTTTATTAGCCTGCAGTTTTATCTATAGCCACTAGCCCACAATTTATGGAAGAATCTGTTTTCTTTGGGGTGTAGGAAGAATACTTGGATTGGGGGAGCTGTAGATTCTCTGGATTGGTTAGAGTAAGAAAGCGCAGTGTCCCCATGGGAGGGACGCCTTTGCAAGTGGCATCCAAGTGAGTAGGCCACCACCAAAGGAAACCACTCGTTTGTTTCGCATAAAATTTTAATTTGTATCTTTCAAGTTTTTTTCACATAGTTATGAGTTTGTTTTGAGGAGTTTTGTTATGAGTCTTGTGTCTTTTGTCACAGAACAATAATGGCATTTGCTAATCAATATATGGAAATTTTTTGATTGGTAATAAAAAGTGATATTTGTATAATTAAAGAATTCATCCATGCTTGTTTTCTAGGGTAAATTTTAAGAATTATAGAGCACTTGCAGAGTACTTTTTTTGTAATACATGACTGTATATATAAAGAAATATATGCATTAAAGGAACTCCCTATCAAGCAATTTGGGAATCTAATAACATTTGAAAGGAAGACGTATAATTAATTTTTTTTCTAGGCCTAATATTTGACAACTAGTTTAAGAGCCTACAGTTCAACAGTTTAAAACCAGCCACAAACCAAACCCACTGCTACTGAGTTGCTTTTGGGTCGAGCCCTGCCCCCTTTGGGTTCCCGAGACGGTCCCTGCGTCCCTGGAGCAGACAGCCCTGCTTGATGGGTTGAACCGCTGACTCTGAGTGACTCAGCAGGCTCCTTTAATTTACAGACAAAGTTTCAAACTTCCCTCAGCGGTCTAGCGGACTGCACAGTGCGTAAGGACCGTTGATAGGACAGGCCAGTAGTAAGAAAGAAAGGCTCTAGGCCACTTTTATCTTCTAATGATTTAAAACTATCAGTAAGTAAAACTGTAGTTTAGCTTTTGTTTGTTTGTTTTATTGAGGCATGTTTGACAATGTACTACATAGACTTAAGGCATGTAGCTGGATCAGTGCTGGTAGATGCATCCACCCATGAAAGTATCATCTCAGTGATACCCACACATGATGTACGATGGAGTTTTATACATGTTCTCCGCACACTTTTGAAGCAAGCATCTCTCTCTGTGACGTATGTGATGGCTCCAGGTGAGCGCAGGCTCCTTGCTCACAGATTCTCTCCACCCAGACAGCTTCCCCGCATGCCAAAGACCTCCCGCCTCATTCCAACTCGATAGTCAGGACAGACACAGGATGCTCTCCCACCCCAGTCACCAGTCTCCTCCCCCGAGGGTTTATCTACTCACCCCACCCTCCTGTCCCGGCTTCTCTGCGTTCTCCACTCTGGAGAAGCCCGAAGTCTGCGCTCCCTAATAAAGGCTGTTTCTGATTCCCCAGGCTCCAGCCGCTCTCTCTCTATCAGTACATATCAATGTTCGTGTGTTGTTTACATCCACTGTATTTCCATTCTGTGTTTGTCAGCTTCTCGAGAGGTACTCACATCTCTCATCATGATCATGGATTTATAATTTATCAAATTGTATGCATTCTGAACCTTTTAAGTTCATCAGTATATTTTCCTAATGAATATACCTTTTTATCTTCTAATGTTTATCTACTTGAATATAATTTTGTTCAATTAATTAATACTTGATATATTTCTTTTCCTTTTTCATGTATTTCACTACCCTTTTTATTGCAGAGCATAAAAATGATAAACATGGTATTGTCATACATGTCACATATGATAAATGATAAAGTAAAACCCCACTTAATAGCCAAGAGAGACATTTTCAGTGCCCCTCCCCCCACATATGACCCTTCTCTCCGAGGTAACCATTATTCTTTCATGTTGGTCACTTGCATGTTTTTGTTTTTCTAGTACTTATGCCATCTTGTATGTACATAGTATAGTTTTGCCTGTCTTTGAACTTTATAAAAATAGAGTTTTTCTTTATCACTCTTTCTTCCCCACTACTGATTTAGAGGTCGCATGTGCCCCACGTGGGGGAGGGACACCTCACCCTCCAACCTGCCAATGACCAGGAAGGCAGGGTAAAAAGCCGCCTTCCTGCCACCAGGGGATTTGGAGCCTCTGGCTAAGGAGGCGTGGTTGATGGTATTGGTCGACCCATTGGCTGTGTTGAGCCCACCTGGGTGTTGTCGTGCACCCTGGCCTAGTTTGGAGCACTTAGGTGTACCTCAGGCTTGAATTTGAACATTCTCAGTTAGGGTCTTCATTGGTGTCAAATGGTTGCCTGAGTTCTTCCCAACCGCCTTTATGAGGGCCATTGCAGGGATGGAAGGGACACCCCCCTTGTCCCTAAATCTAGCTACCTAACATTTCCCCACTAAAGGAGTATGGACCCAGATCTTTGGGGGTACTGGGCAACAGCATTTCTGGCTGCTTCCTGCTGACAAAAGGGACATGACGTGGGGCTTTGGGGTGCACACCCTTCCTGCTCTGTGGGGAGGAGTTGTCCACTTAGGGGCCCACAGTAGATGCAGTTGGGGTAATCCAGAAGCTGGTGATCCTGGGGTTGGCAGTCTTGGCTTAGGGTTGTTGGTAACCTGACAACTTCTGGAAGAAGCAAGATGGGACACTAGGTAGGCTGGGGCAGAGCTGTGAGACGGCAGTTTGGAAAAAGAAATCTTGGACTGATGGGCATGAGTGCCAGTTCCCTTTAAACACAAGAATTGGGTCAACGCGTTTACTAGCTTCAAGACTGTGTTTCGGGTAGGGTTTTATGTGGAGCACTTACCTGTCCAGGGGATGGCCATGAAACACCATCTAAGACCGTGTTTGCTCCGCTTCTGAGGGGTCTGCTTGCTACAGCTTCCAGGATTCACTTGGCCCTGGAACTTTCACGGCAGTGGGGATACAGGGTTTACTGGGAAGGGACCCTTCCAGACTGGGTGGAGCTGGGAATTGGAGGACCCGTCCTTCCAGGTGTTTATAAGAACTAGGTCTCCTGGTAGGCAGAGGGTGGTAGTTTTTGCTCCCCTTGGGCCTGGGTGAGCCCATACCAATGGAATGCCTCCTGGTATTGGGCTACTCTTGTGCTTATTGCTGTATGAAAGCTACCTCAGAGTCTATGGCTGCCTCTGTTACAAGGAAAGGCCGCCCGTATAACACTTCAGAGAGGCTTAAACACGCAGGTTGCCGTGGGGCAATTCTGAGATGCGGCAGCCATTGCCAGTCATCTTTCCAGTACATCGCGTTTCTTGTCCGTTTCCTGAGGGTTAGCTCAAGGTGCTGGTTAATTCTCTACCTGCCCGGAGGACTGCAGCCTTCTGCCATAGTGAAGGTGATATGTTATTCCTAAGTGTTGAGAGACCGCCTGAGTGATTTGGGAGATGAAAGCAGGCCCATTATTACTCTGCAGCAATTTGGGAAGCCCAGATCGAGGAATTCCTGAAGTTACCTTTTAGACAATGAGCCTTCTCAGTGCGGGTGGGATATGCTTCAATCCACCCGGTAGAGGTATCAGTGAACACTAGAAGATACTTAAACTGTTGGATGGCTGGAACCTGGGTAAAATCTATCTGCCAGTCTTCCCCAGGGTAAGATCCCTTGTGCTGGGCAGGCTGGGCAAGGTGACTTGTAAGCGCCCCTTGGGGACTGCTGGTCTGGCAGGTGGGACAGTGAGAGGTTACTGACCTGAGAGTCGAGGTTAAGTTGGCCCCACAGAACTGGTGAGTGAGCAGGCTCAAGGAGGGTTTAAAGCTAAGATGGGTGGCATCGTGGAAAGATCTTACAACTTTCCACTGTAACCTTTGTGGCAATAGGAGTTCATTGTTTTTCTCCCACCATCCATCAGGTCGAAGGCAGAATTCCTTTTAGACAATCAGTTAGTTGTGCTTTTAAAAAATATAATTTATTTTGTTAAAAATACAATACAGCAAAACATGCACCAGCTGAATCGTTTCTACATGTACAACGGAGTGACGCCAGTTACAGCTGAAGGATGGTTTCACTTGTCTGCGTTGTCACCGTCTTGAGCAATACGTGTCTCGGGGTTGCTACTATTCCGGATGGGATATGTGCTACAGTCTTTCATATTTCTCTGGTGCCTTACCCTTTTCAGAGCACTTGTGTATTTGACAAGCAGCACATTGCTCTTGAGTAGTACACAGTACAGGCATTTGACAGGTGAAAACTTGTCATTCAAATCAAAGCCCAGCAGAAACACTTTTTATTACACATCTACCATACAAGGGGGTATCCTCCCCCCCAAATTTTTTTCCAAGCCATATATTTATATTTTTTTACTAAACAACCTTATCACCTTTAAAGTACTCTCCATTACATTTAATACATTTGTCAAGTCTGTGATTCAATTATTGGAAACATTTTTTTGAACTCATCTTGTTTGGCTGACAGCAGCTCCCGTTTTTCTTCATCTCTCCTGCATCATCAAATCACTGTCCTTTCATGTCCCTCTTGGCTTGCAAAAACAAAAAGAAGTCGCACGGAGCAAGTTCAGGTGAGTAAGGTCATGGGACAAGAGAGGCATGCTGGGTTTTTGGCCCAAACTGGTGCGCTGAGATGACTGTGAGAGCAGGTGCATTGTGGTGATGGCAAAGCCAGTCCCCCGCCTGCCACAAGCTTTTGTCTCACACTGTCACACTACCTTCTCAGAATCTCTGAATCGAAAGCTTGATTAGCAGCCTGACCTGGTGGAACAAACTCCAAATTCGCTCCAAATGTGAGAGCATCCGAGGGGGCGGCGGGGACCCCCTTGTATGCTTAGCACAGCCTTGGATGGGAGGGGTGTAAACAAGTAGCAGTAGCAGTTTCACTGAAGAGTCAACACAAACATTGAATAACACAGTCAAATCATTGCTTTGCATGTGACCAGCCGACCAATAAACATTATTTTAAAATTAAATATTATAAGGCAGGGAATTGTTAAAATGGAAAATGTACAATATTGGCAAGCAAATACTGTGGAGGTGGTGGAGAGAGGTCGTTTCAGTGTGGACCGCCTTCCTGCAGCAGGTGGATTTGACCTGTAGTGGTTACATGTTGGGCTGGGATCTGCATGGTCAGCAGTTTGAAACCACCAGCAGCTCCTCAAGAGAGAAACACTGGCCTTTCTACTCCTGTAAACAGTTGCAGTCTTGAAACCCAAAGGGGGCACCCTGAGTCAGCACTGACTCCATGGAGGGAGTCGGATTTGAGTAGGCAGGGGAGTGTGCGCGAACCCTCCTGTGGTGAAGTGTTTGCACATGAATAATGTAGCAGTAAGTTAGAAACAAGGTCTAACAGGCAAATTAACAAGTAGACTTTGAGTTTATGAAAAATAGGAACTCGGAGCTAATTAACAAGTGAGAGCATCATGACAATCCCTGCACTTCAGGGAAGCGGTGGTGGCGGTGAGCCTGTAGCAGGGGCCCTGTTGAGTGGGCAAGGGAAGATAAGACCCCAGGGCAGCTCCGGGAAAGTCAAAGGGGACAGGCACAGAATTTGGGCCTATAACACTTGAAATACCAAAAAAACCCACTAGTTTAAATATATACAGAATTTGCTTTTAACATGTGACTCGGGTGGAGCAGCCATCTCATAGAAAAGCCGAGGAGACGCCCAAGCGGCCTGCTCTCTGGCAGCGATGATGCCGCAGCAGTCCTCAGCGTGCCGCGGAGGGCGTGCAGTCGTGGACCTGCGGGTGGAACGGTGCTTGCGGAGTCCCATGGAAATAGTGGCACATGCCCGGTTTGGCCCCTGGCGTCCCACACGAGGTATCAAGAGGGTCTCCATAGTACTGTTGCCATAGGAAAGTGCATTTAGCTCCAGATCGGCTATAGCCACACACAGCCAGGCATGGAAGCACCCGAGGTGGCAGCCAGTGGCCTTTGGAAGTCTGAGTTCTTGCCAGTTTGGGGGTGGTCACATTTTGCTTCCATAAAAGAAACTTCACCCTTTATTCAGTCCCTGCCCAGGAATCCTGGTAGCTCCTCCAAGAACAGAAGCCCCCAAACTCGATGCCAGGGGCAGGCCTCGCACTGCGTACAGACCGGACTTCCGTCAGAGGCCCGCACTCACCTATCAGTGGACAGGTCTCGCTCCGTTGTGGTGATGACTTGCTAGGCCCCCATGCCCTTTCTTTCCGGATGTGAACAGTGAAACCGACCAAGGATAGTTCCTGCCTCCACATGCCTCCCTCTCCCTCTCCCTGCTACTCTCATGTAGGAGTTCACAGAAGAACGTATGTATGTGTTTCCAGAGGACGGTTCAGATGTAAGGTACACAATGCACACATACTCATTCTATATAAAGGAACAGAGGTGCTGGTGGTGCTCAGCCTCAGCTTCCGGACCTGCCGTCTGGAGTCAGTGCATACCTGTAAGGCAGGTAGGTTTGGACTCGAGTTAGAATCCTGCGGAGGGAGCAGGACTGGACAAGTTGCCTGGTTCTGCCTGCCTGGACATAGCAGGCCCGCCTCGCGGTTGGCCTGCCAGGGTTAAGGCTCGAGCTCGTTTTCTAGCTCATAGCAACCCTCTGCAGCCCCGTGGGGCTTTCACAGGGTCCTTTGTGGAAGTGGAGCCCTGGTGGGGCCGTGGGCTGGTAACCAAAAGGTTAGCCTTTGACGTCCATGGGAGAAAGGAGACAGCCTGCCTCCATGGGGATTTACAGTTCCTCTATGTGCTGCCAGGGGATGTGAGTCTGGATCAACGGACAGCAGTGAGCTCTGCAGGGGTTAACAACCTGAATAGTTGAAAATCAATCTCCTTCCTTAGGAGCCACGGGGACTGAGTGCGGACTGAAAAGGCAGGACTTTGGGGAGGGATGTGGGCAGCTCTGGGACAGTGTCTCCATCAGCAGAGTGCGGGCGGTGAAGACAGGGCACACTTACCACTGAGAAAAGCCCCGGATCAAATCTTCTTTAGATAAGTCAATCAGCACCTAGACAACCACAAACGATCAGTCCCGCCTGCACACTGCACTGCCTGCAAACGCCTGCCACAGGGTGAATGGACCACCGGCTGCCTGGCCGTGAGGGGTCCTGAGCAGGGGCTCCTTTTCCTATAACCCCTCCCCCCCTCCACACAGAGCCCCGCGGAGGATGGTGCCCACACTGGCCTCAGTGTTCTGGGGAAAGGTAAATGGCTGTTGGGAGTGACGTCAGGAATTTCAGGAAGTTACACATTGTCCCTTTTCAGGATTTACGAGCTTATGAATGCTATAGGAGGAGCAACCTGCCCCAACTCATTAACTGATGAGTCATTTGAATAGGACACCATGGTTTCCTTTTCTGTAAAAATGACGAGCACGCCACCGACTTCATCAAATTGGACTTAAAAGGGACAAGTGTAATTAAGTTTATTAAACTACAGTGATTACTGACTATTATTCAAATGCCATTCTTCTGCCACCGCTTGGCATCTCCCGGGGATTAGATGTCCTCTAGTTCTACTTCCAGGAAAATCCCATCACCACAAAAATCTCATAGCAATTACGAGATGCAAGCTTCACATATTCCCATATTTACCAGCCTGCGATTTAAACACTGTGGTAGATGGTCAAATGTCTGGGGAGTGGATGAATTTGGATGGACCCCAGAGTTTCTTAAAATTATCTTATTAAGATGCGTTCATAGTCTCATTAGTTTCAAGATTGAAAAACAAACACCCTCCTGCTGAGACTGCGCCCTCTTTGAAGGCAGGGTGTGGTAGTCACCTAATCTGGTGTCAATTTAAGGATTAGGAGTGTGGGGGTGGAGTCTAGGCTGTCAATCTGGAGACAGCCAATGAGACTACTGTGTGGGCATGGCCTTCTCCTGGGAAATCTGGGACTTCCTCCTTGGAGGCAGAAGACACCTCTCTCTCTTTCTCTGCTACTCCTTGGGAGACACTGCAGAAGAAAAGCCACAGGGATGCAACCAGACCCCTGAAGCCGGAGAAGCCACAGGGAGACCCCTGCCAGCACTGAGATGCTTACAACGCCACTGGGCCCAAGGACTTTCTACCCACTGGCTTGTGATCATCCTGCATTTGGCTTCATTGCATGTGTTTTGTGAGTCTGAATAGGACTTTATAGATTGATATCGGACACATGGGCTAATATTGGACTTATGGACTTGATCTGGGATGCTTTCCATGTTCAATTGCTTGTGTATATAAACCTCTTTCTTATACACATATGTGGGTTTATGAATTTGTTTCTCTAGTCTACATTGACTAACACACAGGGCTTCCCCACTACTGGGCATGCCATGTGGCCCGTGTGCCTGGCCGGCCCACAGGTGAGCTCAGTTAGGACCAAGAGCCCCTCCTGTACTTACTTTGCCCAGCTCCTTTCTTCGGTGTGAGCCAAGGGGTCTACTATTTTTCACTGCGACATCTAGTGACCTTTTCTGTACTTCTTCCATGGGAACAAAGAATTCAAATCTTTAAGAAACAAAATGTCAGGAAATGAACACCTTTCAAGCATTTCTGTTGAAAATCTAAAGTGCTTTGTCTATTTCTCTACTTTTTAAACAGAAGATATGGGCAGCTGAAAGGTAATCACAGCAGGTACACTGTGTGTCTTCGTCACTGATGACCGCTGGCCTGCATGCTCAATCCTGGAAAACGCTGAGAGACCGATCCTCTAGGGAGAACCTTGAACTACTGAATTAGAAAGAACACCAACCCACTGCTAGGGAGTCCATTCTGGCTCATAGAGTGTGGCCGTCGGACAGAGTGGAACTGTCCCATCGGGTTCCAAGACGGCCATCTTTATGGGAGCAGACGGCCTCGTCTTTCTCCACAGCCTTTCCAAAATCAAAAGACACAGTGAAACAACTAGTCCAGAGGGTTAACGGACTGGACAAACATGTGTCCCCAACTCTGAGCCCAGCAGCACTAGAGGTGGTCAGCGATCACTGATGCTGCTCTGGAAAGGAGCACAGCAGAAGGGCGCGGAGAGTGGGAGAAGCATGTGGAACAGAACTCAGCCATAAAAGAGACCCGCCAGGCTCACTGGTCAGCTAGAGACTGGTGGGGGCCCCTCCCCCCCAAGACGAGGGCCCTGGCCATGCTCCCGGTCTGGAACCGAACTCACTCCCATTTGAAGCTGTTCAACTGGCTAAGAGAAAAGAGGCAGCGTGTGTCCCAGTTCCGAGTTCGGAAGGCAGGGAGGGAGTGGAGGAGACAGAGGACATGGAGGGGACCGCTGTGGATGTGTAGGGCTGGCGGTCTGTTCTGTCAACCAGCCCGAGTCCACAGGAAAAGGCTTGGAAAAAGAATGTATACAAATCCTCACAAATGACCCCCCCTCACACACTCAAGGGAGTGGGATCCTTCAGGAAGCCTACTGCCACATCTTTGTCCTGTGGAACGGCTGGTGGGGCTGAGGCAGTGACCTTTCGAGTGGCAGATGTGTGTGCCTACTGTGCACGAGCGCGCCTTCACCGAGCACGTCTGGCTTGGCTGTGGTCAACCCGGGCTGCCATCCTTTCCGCGCCCTTCTCTTCTGCTGCCCACCTCGACCCCTAACTCTGATTGTCCCCACCTGGCTGTGGGCTAGATGCACGGAGCCCAGCCTGTGTCGTGGACACGCTCGGCGAAGTCCTCACACAGAGCCCTCAGGCCCCCTTACGACTGGGCTCTGTCTTAGGGTTGGGGCTGCCCAGTGCCTCCCTCCCAGATCACATCCTCTTCTAATTCTGAAAGAGCATTACTAACAGATTAGGTTTGTCCCACAAGTCAAAGGTCAAATCCCCTGCCTCCTATGTTCCCACAGAGTCCATATCTGTGTCAGAGTTGGCTCTAAAGAAGAAATCTCTTGTGGCTCGAGTACAGGATGGTGTCTGACAGCCAATGGTCCATCAGTGCTGAGTAAATAAATTTCTCTTGACACGGATGAAGTCAAAGTCTAGCTCTGGAAGAAACACATTTGTTTTCAGACATGACCCAAACACCCCTTTTCAACAGGAACAGTCATTGACCAGGGAACCCAAGTGGTCAAGCGTCATATCTTCCTAGGGGAGCTAGAAATGCCTTCTCTTAGGACCCTGGCGTCGGGAAGAAGCCCTGATGAGACCCTGACTTCTGCACTTCGAGGACTACCGTGGATCAAGTCGGAATGAAATAAAAAATTAGGGACATTTGAGATAAGACTCCCCGCCCCAGCACACGCAGGAGATGTGATTGAGTCCGCTGACCTTGTCTGGGAGGACACGTGAGTGGAGGAGCCTGGTGGAGAAGGGAGGGCGGCTGGGGCCCACCATCCGTGCTTTGTTGCAGGAGGGGAGACAGACCAAAGAGCTTGAAGTTTGGGGAGAAATTTTAGGTCCTTGGGTTCAGAGCAGGTTTATTTTTAACTGCTGATCTCAAGGAACCATTTGACCTGACATGGCCTCTGACTATCAAAGCGAGCTGAGTTCAAGAGAGAGTAGGAACCAGCCCTGATGAGGGGCAGGAAAGGTGGGTAACCACTCTGGTACACTGCCCTGGCCACGCTCCCCCCACCCCCCGCCCCCACCAAAAAAGCCACCTGGCCGGAGAAAGCACCGGTTCCTCTTGGGGCCTTGCCCCTGGCCGCACCCCGCAGCCTGGCAGGCGCCGGCTCCGGGATCCGAATGAGCGAGGTCCAGTGGGTCCACTTACGTCTCATCAAACAGGGGCTCCAGGGTCTTCCGCTTCACTGAGGTCCTCTTGCGACTGGCCCACCTCCTCTCCGGCAGCAGGTACACCCGGACGTAGGGGTCAGCTCCACTGGTGGTACACGGCGTCAGGTTTCTGATTGGGTTTCAAAGACAGCCGAAAGAAAACAGACTTCTGGTTTGGGGAGAGACGTGAAAGTGCTCCCTGGGGAGAAAGCTCTCCTAGCCGTCAGGCTCTCCATGGGCTCCTAACCAGGCCGGATTCCCTGCCACCTGCAGCCTGGACGCCCTAAACGTGAACAAAAGGCTGCGGGATTGGAGACTGCACTTGCGCATCAGCGGCATGGTTTTGAAAACCTGCTCTGTGTGAAGTTCGGGGCAGAGCAAGTCATCCGATCCAGGGCCGCACTGGGGGAAATGCGCTGACCACCTGCAGGCAGTTTTGCAATGGGGGCCTGACCAGCAACACCGATCGAGTCCCAGTGCTGCCTGGTGAGCAGGCCTTCTTATCCCATCTCCCAGAGTGTTACTCTCAGCTGTGGGGCTCCCACACCCCTGCCCTCGATCCAAGTGTCCCGGCTCTGATTTCAGTCACTCGCTGCTCTCCAAAGACCGTCCTGGTCCCAGAATCCCTGTACCTGCAACCGTTGACGAGCACGCTGAGGCAGCGCCGCAGACAGACGTAGCGCACGGTGAGCTGAATCTCACCCAGCCGCCGTGCCCTGGGACCCCCGCCTCTGCAAGGAAAGGGCTGGTCACCTCTCTTCTCAGCCTGGCACTGGTCTCCTGCCTACCCTCCATCCCCTCCAGAAAGGTTCTATTTTGGGAACAGAGGGTTTTGTGGATTAATAAAATAATTTCCATTGATGTTGCCTCCAGAAGGAAGCCCTTTCCCTTTCCATCCACCATCCCTGTGCTGAAGGCAGGCTGGAAAAGTCTTTTAGGATCTCAGGATCCAAATGAAGACATAAAAGATCCTAGAGCATTTTTGTTCACGTGTTTCGGTGTGATGATAATGATTTGTAGGCTGTATAAGTTTAAAGACAATGAATGGTAAAGGGCTTTGATGTTAGAACTTTGTAATGGCTCTGCAAAAAAAACAAGTGTGTGTGTGTGTGTGTGTATGTGCACATAAATATAATGCAGAGCAGTCAGTGTGATTTGGGTGGAGGGAGCATGCACGTTGTTGTGCTAGTCTTTCAACACTTGGTGTCTAGATACCTTTATAATAAGAGATGAGACAAAGTAAAGCCCTAGAAATTATCATCAGTAGAAAATGTCTAACCCTTCAACTTTTAAAGAATGTAAATGACAAAAAGTACAAATGGCTTACAAAGGCCATCTCTGTTGTAGAGAGAGCATTGAAGAGTGAAGTTTCGGGTCTAGTCAAGGTCTTCTATGAATAACTAAAACTTTGCTTGTTATATGAGCTGAGGGTAAAACTGAGGCCATTCTGGACACCTACCATTTTAATCCTTGGATTAAAGAATATTATGCTGTATTATGTTCTTGGATGTTATGGGATGATCCCAGCACACAGAACACACTCCACGGATGCCAAGCACAACTGGCTGGATTCAGGAGGACCTCTGTGCTCGGGTCAATGCCTTGGTTCCCTTCCTAGCCCGATATGCATGCAACTCAAACTAGCACAAACGCTGGCGTGGGGACTGTCTTTATATCACGACTCTTGGTGGGGCCTTTATGACAGTAAGCTTTCTCTCATACATTTAATAAGCTAGGAGTGAATTGGGGAACACACTGAACCCACAATAAACATAATGAATGGCAACCACTAATTATATGGTTCCACATTCCAAGCTTTCCATTTCACCCTAGTATAACTCTAGAATTCAGGAAACGTTTGTGCTGGGAGGAGCCTTAAAGACCATTGCTCAGCCTCTGCTTGATAGTGAGTCTCTAGCTAGAGCTATAATCGGACTCCCTGTGTTTTTCTACCGCACCAGGCTACTTACTGCCTCATAAGGATAGTTTGTGAAAAACGAGAACTTTCATCTAAGTGTGACACTACTTTCCCAGTCCGGGGCGAGTTTTCCATGAGATTTTAGAAGAGATTAAGCAGAGAAGTGCATACTCAATGTTGAGGCTGATCTCTGTCAGGTCAAAGCAGGAGCCCAGGGAGTTGAGGGAGGACATGCTGGGAGCCAGCCCCGAGGGGGGCCATGCAAATGGGGAAGCGGGGCATTTCCTGGGTCTGGGAGACTTGATGGGCCCTGGAGAGTGGGCGCCTGGGACAGTCAGGAAGATGGTGGTCGAACTCTTCTTCTCTCTTGCGGGCTCACAGAACCCTCTGGCGCTGTCCTTGCCTTTGGGCTTTGGGGCTGTCTCTTGGTGCATGGGCTCGGGGGCTGCAGTCGGAACACTGGTGATGGTGAGGGTGCTCTCAGAGGTCTCCTTGGTGTCGGAAGCAGGATCCGGGGGACATGACACCTCTTCAGGGGCCTCTCCCTGCGGTGGGGCTCTAGGGTCATGGCTGGTGGCCACCTTCTTGACAAACAGAGGGCCCTTCTTCAGGGCTTCAGATCCTGTGTACGGGCTCCCCAGCTCCCGTTCCTCAATGCGCAGGAACTGCATGCAGAAGACAGGCTGCTTATGGAAGGGACCACCACTTCCTCCTCCCCCTCCCTCATCACCCGCTGCCTTCGCCTCTCTCGTGGAACAGTTTTCTCAAAAACCAGTGCCCTGTTCAATGACTGTTTTGATTTTTTTTCCCCCAGAGACTGTGTCTTTGACCTCTCTGTGTGCCCAACCGCCCTCCTCCCTCACTAGTGGGTGTTCGCCAAGATTTGGTCCTGGACCCTCTTTTCTCGGCATGCACTTCTCTCCTGCGTGGACTCCCAGATCCACCTCCACGCCTCCCTCACCCTAACCGGGGGGCAGGGAGAGGAAGTGAGGCATCACCAGCTGCCCTCTAGGTGTGGCTGGTTCCAGCCGTCTTAATCTCCAGCATGGCCCCTGAACTGGTTTTCTACCAGCCCCACCTCTGTGCTCTCAGCCTTCCATTTCAAGCCTCACCATCGCGCTACCCTCAGCCTCTTGCCCCCCAGTTACCAGTTGCCAAGACTCATCCTGCTGTTATGAGGTGACGCTGAGGCAGTTCCGACTCACAGCGGAACTACAGAACCAAACACCACCCAGCCCTGTGCCAGCCTCACAATTGCTTCCAGCATCGCAGCAACACACAAGCCACCGCAATACAACAACTGACAGACGAGAGGGGGAGACCATCCTAGACACGGTCCTTTTGGCAATCTGGTGGTCAAAGTGGTCTCAACACTCTGGTGAGGGATGCCAAATTAAAGGAAACACCCTCTTTAAAGTGAATAGCCACACTCACCACAAGGTTCGCGCTGCTATGGTTAGACGGCGGGAGGGAAACTGGACAAGGAAGACGGAAGGCGCAACGTTTCTGGGGTCATTTCCCAAATGGTGCATCTCGGGGATTCGGGTTTGAGGGAGCTTGCAGAAACAAGGGACAAGTCCTTGGACTAGGAGTCCGTGTAAGAGGAAGAATTAGAAGGGAGGTCCCTGAAGTTGGGTTAAATCTTTAGTGAAAAAAGTAGCGTTGGAATAAAAATGTCTTCTCCCCACTCTCGTGACCCCATTCTACCTTACAAATCTGGCTAGACCAGAACATGTGCACTGGTACAGATAAGAGCTCTGGACACACAGAATCCAGGACAGATGAACCCCTCAGGTACAATAATGAGAGTAGAGATACCAGGAGGGTAAGGAGAAGGTGGGAGGAGAAAGGGGAACTGATCACAAGGATCTACATATAGCCCCCTCCCGGGGGGACAGACAACAGAAAAGTGGGTGAAGGAAGATATCAGTCAGTGTTAGACATGACAAAATAATAATAATTTATAAATTATCAAGGGTTCATGGGTCAGGGAGGGTGGAGGAGGGAGGGGGAAATGAGGAGCTGATACTAAGGGCTCAGGTAGAAAGCAAATGCTACCCAAAAAAGACAAGATAGGTTTAGGAAAGCTAAAGTTAGAAATGAGAAAAATAGTCCAAAAAAATTTAAAGCAACAAACAGGCCACACAGTAAGTTAGACATAGCCAAATAAAGAATTAGTGGTTTGGAAGGCAGAGCTGAGGAAGTTAGCCAGAATGTGGCGCCAAGAGATAAGTGATGGGGATTCTGAAAGTCAAGTCAAGAGATGCGAAGAGCAGGGTGAGGAAGCCCAACACAGAAGGAGTTCCAGGAAAAGAAATTAAAAGATAAAAGAACGGCAATATGTCAATGGCTGGCAAATGTTCAACACGGATGAGAACGATATAATCCATCTCTTGGCTTCTTCTAGTCAAGAATAAACATTTCCTGGCTTTTTCTGGCCACCGATTCTCTAGAGAGAGAGAGACTCCTTTGTCCCATAGCCAGCGTTTCGCCTCCCTCTCTCAGGGTGATGGTCGAGGCTTACCCGCAGCACCAGCCTCATGGAGATGAGGCTGTCCAGGCCCGAGTGGTCCAGCTGGAAGCGCTGCTCCAGGGTGAGGTCTGCACAGGCGAGGATCTGGCACAGAGGGAACTCCAGCACTCCCAGAGCATACTCCTGGTCATCATCCAGCACCTGCACAGCGGGGTAGTCATCGAACAAGAGGAGAGCCAAGTCCACCCTCCCACCTCCACGGAAAGGGCCCTAACCGAGCCCCGGGCTCACTTCGTAAGTATGCACTGTGCTGCTATTTGCACACAGCCCTGGTCTGGGAATAAAGAACCGCATCAGGTCAGGCCTGGTCCCTGCCTTCCGTATGGGGAGAGGCACTTATGGTCTTTATGTGGCCAACTGTCCAGGGTCCGGAAGGTTTTAGGGACAGGGGCGGTGGGCTACTCTGGGATGGGGCATCAGAGAGGACTTCTGACAACAACGAGTCTAGGGCCCCCACTTGTCAGTCACGAGACTTTGAACAGGTCCGTGTTTGAGTGCCTATTTGCTCGTGTGGAAAGTAGAAAAGACAGGACCTCTTTAGCATCGTTATTTTGTCAGGATGGAAGGATTGGCGTTCAATGACTGCGTCACCATCACTAGTGTCCAAAGTCTCACACCGGCCCCTCGCCTGCTACGTACGTAGCCAGAAGGCCCTATTGCAGGGACACGAGGGCGTGTTCCTCCCCACGGATGGCTTGCGCAGCGCCGCATGCACACGCGGCTTTGGGAGGGGCTGCTGACCTAAAGTGCCAAGAACCTGCTTGACGTGCGCTTCAGGCCCCGCCCCCTCCAGAGCTGCAGTCTAAGAGCCCAACTTCAAGCAAACCTTCACATGTAGCTCCTCAGCCGCCACGTTGTGCACAAAAAAGGAGAACACTTGGCCCCACACGGGGTCCTTGCTGTGGTGACACGTCTGGGGACAGAGGAAAGAGATCATTGAAGGGTCAGCGTGGCCGGGTTGGACGCCAGCATCTCTGAGCTCGGTCTGGCCACTGGGTACCACTGGGAGCCTCCTTCTGAGCTTCCCAGGGAGCAGCCCCACGGTGCTACAGCCAGTGGGAGGCACCCCAGCCAGACGCATGGTGAGGAGGGCTTTGCCAGGAAGGGCAGCCGGGCTGAAACCCACCCTGGCAGTGGAGTTCCCTCCCTGGGGAAGCAGCCAGAAGGCTGTTTGATGCAGGATTGAGCAACTCCATGGAGGGAGGGAATGATAGGGCTTGAACGCCAAGCCCCGCCTGGACTCCTACTTCTGTTACTTTCTGGTGCAAGTCACTTAACCACGGATCTTCAGAGTCTTGAACTGAGCCATGAATTTGCGAGGAATACATATAAAAATGCCTAGAGTCCACCTCAAACTTGCTAGGTGTTTGGTGCAAGCTAACTTCCATCCTGTCTGCAGCTCGCAGCCAGCGTTTGTGCCTTCCTCGGCCCCTCGGTCATCAAGACCCACCTTCACTCCACATGCACCGCCCGTGAGTCCATTCCCGCTCCGACCCCGGCGGCCTGACAGGGAGAACTGCCCGTTGGGGTTCTGAGATGATAACTTCCACGGGAGTAGAAAGCCTCATCTTTCCCATGCACAGAGGCTGGTGGATTTGAACTACTGACCTTGTGGTTGGCCGCCCAACCCGTAACCCCCTAAGCCAAGACCCACCCTAGAGACTTCCATTTCCTTCCATCTCCTCACCCCCAGGCCACACGCAGCAGCTGCCTTACCTTGCTTGTCTGTGTCTTCTTACCTACGGACAGCTTTGCGTAGCAAGAAGGGTCCCTGCCGCTCTTATTCTGTGACAGGAGAGACCCACACAGCAGTGGGGGCACGGTCAATGTCAGCTGGAGGGGTCCTCACCCACGGCTCCCCACGGAGAAAGCCGCCTAGGCACCCTCCAGACGCCTGGGCTGCCTTGACTGTCAGCCCTGAGCGCTGGGCTGACGCCTGGGGATGTTCGGGGGACGCAGCAGCATGCACAGCAGGGCCTGGCTGCTGGGGCCCAGAGCATGAGCTGGGCTTGGGCAGGGTGGGGTCTGACTCTGGCTCCTCCTCCG